TCTGGCGAGTATCCCACAGAGCTGTTGTATCTCACAGATGTGCACTGCGAGAAAAGGTAGTCCAAGTTGTATTAGAAATACTTGACTTTGGGAAAGTATGAAAATATAGAGAAACTAGGAATAAAATCAAAGTTTTAGCGATAAAAAGCTGAATAAAACTTCGATAAATATAGATCTTACAATTTTTTCCGCTAAGAAAAATTCTTTAAAATTTTTAACAAATAAAAATATATAATCCCAATTTTACACAAAAAGCTATAGGAAAATTGTCAATAAGTCTATCGATAATATTGAAAATGTCTATATAGTATTATAATTAAAACTTTTTTAGACTTGGACATTTTCTACCAGCTTCTATTAAAAATTAACGATTTAAAAAATTCAATGCAATAGTTGAGGCATAAATACAAATGTATCTTTTTGTAATAATTAAACTAATAATATAGTATTGAAAATAAATTATATTCCATAACCTTACATTTGGTTTTATATTCTTCAATTATATATATATTTTTTTTAATGACAGTTTTTTTTTTCCGCAGTGTAAATGTATCTTCTGGATGCTATATATCGCCTGGCGGATGTGTGTGTACAGTTATAATTAAGTGATACACATAAACGGGCGCCCATGCCTTCGCTCCGCTCACTCTACACTTTATTCCGTATCTCCTCAGGTCTCAGTTTCTGTTTAATGATTGTTTTCAATTAGTCTGTTTCGGTTTTCCTCGCTTTTTGATACATACCCCCCCCCCATATATCCCAATGCCAAAGGGTTAAGGTATACAGCATTTCGTATCTTTCGGATACCTTCACAAAGTATCTGTTGTGTTTTTTAGTTTTAAGAGATCATATTACCAGAAGATTGACTTGGGTAATCAAAGGTTTTAACTGTTAAGTTTGGGATTGATCATGTTTTAATTACTTATAATTTATATTTTTTTTAAACCTTGAAAATATTAATAAATTCTTGAAAGAAATCACAGGTAATCCCTTAGTTTATCCCATTAAAGAAGGTATCTTTTAGTCGAAAGATTAAATGATTTTCTATTTCTATTATTTTACAAAGACTCTTTTTTTAACACATAAAACAGAGCCAGTCACTCAGTGAGATACTCACTCAATTGAAGAAGAAATGCGAGGGCGTTGGAAAAAGGAAAGGAAAGAAAAGGAAACTGCAACTGATTGAGTCACTTTCCGATGGAAACTTCATTTAAATGTTTACGCTTGTCTTATTAATTACCATCATACATCTTCAACTGTCAGCCAAGACGATCAGCAAAAGGAGAAACCTTAAATAGATCACTAAGATCACTTGGATCACATTTTGTAAAAACTATAGGTTTAAAATATTTCAAAAATTATATATCTCTTAATAAATGGATTTTAAAACCAAAAAAAAAGTTCCTTTTGGTTGTGTTGGTTAGCTTGACAAGTATTGACATAAACAGCATTGAAGAAAGTCCTTATTAAGGAGTGGAAAGTCCTGTCCTGTCCGGCTGCCTGCCTGCTGTCATATTTGGAAACTTGGTTTCCATTACCATTGCCATTGCCTGGTACAGAGAGAAAGACAGAAAGACAGAAAGACAGACAGACAGTCCAGACCCAGATCTGCCAAAGACAACTGGCCAGGATGATGGGCAGTCGGCGCAGTCAATTGACCGCTAACTGTTGCAGGACTCCAACTTCACTCCCTTTATTGTCCATTTTGCCACTCCTCCTTTGAAATTTGTGGCAGCCACAACGTGTGGCAGACAGCTTAAGACGTTGCCTGACAGGATGTGCAGATGCGAGGATACACTCATCGAAAAATTTATATTATTTTCTAGATAGAGATTATCATCTCTTATTAACAATTTTACCAGGAAAGTTTTAATAAATATTTAAAAGTTTATGTATTTTTTTATTAAGAAAAAAGCAATTAAAATAGTTTAAAAATTAATCTCTTTGAGATTTTTGTTACTTATAAATATAGAAATAGACTAGAGTTCTTAAGTTCTCTCTTTATTAATTATCTAATTATCCTCTTTATTAATCTCTTCCTTTATTTATCTCTGTTTCGCTCTCTCTCTCTCTTTCTGTCTCTCTGTTTCTTTCTCTCTGTTTCTCTCTCTCTATCTTTCTCTCTGCTTTTCTCTCTCTTTTTCTTTCTCTCCCTTTCTATCTCCACTCTTGCTAGAGGGATCTCTGCCTTCTCCTTTCTCTTCCAGGCTTTGCTTGTAATGTACAAGCCATGCAAGACCTTAAATCATTTGCTCCCCTAAAAAGAGCTTTCTCTGCTCCTTGTCTTAAAAACAAAACAATGATCAAATAAATTAATGATCTATAAAATATACCTTAAGAAATCCCCATAGAGTTTTCCCCCAGTGCAGGATAATGCAAAAATGGGAGGGGAATGGTCCGCGCCAGGATTGTGGCAGTGGGTCAGGATAACGGCCGTGTCGTTGACAGTCGTCATGCGCAGCTACTTAGACGGACATAAAATTATGATTACAGTGAATGCCACATGCTCCACAGTTTCCCCTACCCCCGCCTCCAGCTCTACCCTTGGAAAATCCTTCGTGAAAAAAAAGAAAATAATAAAAAAAAATCCCAGGCAATTCATTACAATAAGCTCACGAATGTGCCATAAAAATGGCAGCTCTCTTTCCGCGGCCCTGCACTCGAAGCATGAAATTGCCAATTCCAATCCGGTTTTAGTTGTAAAAACTTTCATGATCCGCCAACATTAATAGAATATGCCATGTCTCCCTACATAATCTCTCATCTTTTGGCCACAAAACATAATGGATGGTAGGTTTTCCCTCTTTGTAAGTCTAAATGTTGGGTTTATTTCATTTGGTTATTGGGATTATGTGCAAAAATAAATATATATACTATTATATTACTGCGTTTTGTTGCGCAAGTATTTTATAAACCTATCACTGCATACTTTTGGGCAGTTTCCAAAGAGATTTCAAGTCTCCAGAGATTGTCCATGTTTAAATTACCTTCTGGCTTTCCCTAGAAGTTACTTACACCTGACATAATTAACTGAAACCCCTTTGCCTTCAAAATATATCTCCACAGAATTAAGGAGAAATTTCGGAGTATTTATCTCCCGCTCTCTCTCTTTCTAGATATATGTATGTGTCCTTCTCTGTTTCCCTATCTCCATTCTAATTTAGTGTAAACAAACCGCTTGACTATCATCTCTCTCTCTCAACCAAAGAAAATCCCGCCGCTTTTTAAGCCTCTGCCCATTGTGTTTGTGTTCCCATTCACTGGGATATCCGAGATGCTTCAAGGAGGAGAAGGAGCAGAAGAAGAACGTCCTGGCAGCTCCGCAATCATTAGCTGTAACATTAGCGTCTGTCTTGCGGTGAAAACTTTCGGCTACCTGAAACGCTTTTCCGCGCCCCATGCCTTCTCTCTATCTCTATCTCTCTCTCTCTGGAAATCCTCGAGCAGAGGGGGCAAGGGAATCCAATGGCAATGGTTAAACCTATAAAACCACGTAATCTCCAAGCGAGTTCTTTAATTATGCTGCACACAGCCACTTTGGTGCTGGAACTGAAACTGGAACTTCAGGAGCATCAGGTGGCAGGTGGCAGGTGGGAAAATATTCAAAGGGGAGGGAGGAAAAACCAGGGGCGTGGCACACACAAGGACGAGGAAATCCAGAGGAGCAGAGCAGAGCAAACAAAATGCGAGGCGAAAGCCGCTTACAAAACCGCAAAATGCTACGGACATCTTTTTGGGCCAGGAGATGCGAGGAAAATCGGAAGCTGCATGAAGGAAAATCGGAGCAAGACTAGGCAAAAACCAGGAGGAGAACTCAGAGACAGCAAAAAAAAAAAAAAACACAAACCGGAATGGAGAAAATGGAGAATCCAATGGCCACCAGTGGTAGGTAGCGGCAGCCATTTTGAAGTTTGGCGCTGCGGCTTTGGTGTCTCCACATCTGGCCAGGATTACAATGGAGCACTGCACTGCACTTGTGGATGAGATACGAGAGGCACTGGCACACAGAAGGGACAACTAGACAAGGGGACAGAGGAACAGAGGAGCATGGCAGGGATAAACAAACAAACAGCGATCCGGAAGGGGGGGAAAACACGGATGCCAATGCGAAAAACCAGTTTGCGGATTTAATTGCCGTTAACATGAGGCCAGCTTCATTTTATCCAACACTTCCGGGGAGAAAAACACAAGGAAAAAAATGATATATAAATATATCAACTAAAAACCTTTTAGAAAATGAAGGAAATAGCTCCCTAGAATCTTTAAAATAATTCCTAAGAAAATAAATACTATTTATATAAACATTATAATCCCCACCAAAGGTACTACATTTTTCTGATATTTAAAACCAGTTCCTAGTCTAAAGCAAGACCAGTTTTCCTCAGTGCATCTATTGCCTTTTCTCTGGTCGGTTTTTTTTGAGTGGGGAAACATGAGCACCAAAGTGAGCTCTAGTCGCAGCCGGAGATTAGAGGGCAAACGTTGACATCTCATAGAGGTTCCTTCGGCGCTATTTTTCCCTAATATTGTCCTGGTTCCACAGAACACAAAAAACAACAAACAAACACACTTTCAAAAAGCCTTTACCCCTTTACCAACAGAAAGCTGCGAATGATGGATTTAAGCCGGGTTTCAATGACAGTAACATCACAAAGGTGGTCATTAATCCAAGGCCATTGTCAGCAGAAAAAAATGAAAAGTAGAAAATTCAAGGGGAGAGTATAAGACATAGAAATATAGATTTATAAAAAAATATATTAAATTTGATTGATTTCCCAGAGAATTTAGCAATTATTTTACTAGAAAACAAGGTAAAGTAAGCCCAAACAATATCTTATTATGATTAAAGAAATACGTGTCTATTAAAAGTTTCATGAAAGAGAATTAATAATACATATTTTTCCAGGTCTAAATTCTGTCTAAATCCCTTTTGAATGTCAAAATTCGTTGTAAATTTGATCAATTATAAATTATAGAAATTAAAATTGTCATTCACTTACCCATTTGAGTCGCCAGGTGATAGCGGTTTCAGCTGTTGATCCGAACGGAGGTTGTCACTAAGTATATAGTCTGTAAAAAAATAACAGAAAGAGAAAAATATAAATAAATGTTTTAACTCTGGAATATAAAATTAAACAACTTTTTCGAAAAAGATGTCCCAAGCTTTTATCCTGCAGAGTCCTGTTAAAATTCTGTTGAAACTCTGTTAAGAACCAAAGCTTTCGGCAATTGCGAAACAACATCGAAAAGGACATTTAATTGTGGCCAAGAAAGCTTGGGACCAAAAGTTAAGGGATATTTTATGTTATTTCCCAGCATTCGAGGTTTTTTGAGGGAATTTTCTTATTAGTAATTTCCCTACTTATAATTTCCCTGCCTGTGTACTCCTTACAAAACTTTTCCCAGTTTCCAAAGAATGTGTGTGTAAAATAAATAGGATTAATATTTCAAAATATAAATAAATATTTCATAATTATACCCTTGTAGGGTATTATAAAGTATTTAGCTTTAAGATATTTTTAATGGTATACATTTAGATATAACAAACGAAGATATTTACTAGAAATATTACAAATATCTTCGGTTGATATATCTAAATGCATACCATAAAAATATCTTAAAGCAAAATACTTACAAATATATTTAATTTAACAATATTTAATTATATTTTTATGCATGAATTTACTCTTTTTTTTAGGGAAAAGTAGGAAATGAACTTTAAGTTTTTGTTGCTGTATTAATTATAAAATCAAAAATAGTAATAAAAGGAAACAGAAAAACGAAAGTATTTTGCAAATAAAAGATGTAAAACAATACTTTAGCAATGCAAACATTAAACATTAAATGAGTATTAAATGATTTTGAATTAAAATTGAATAATTTCCTTAATAAAATATGAATATGCCTCTATTTATCTGACTCCCACTCGCTCCCACTCTCTGTGCCTCTCCCTCCCTCATTACCTCTATCGATCCCTTACTCTCCCTCTCTATGCATCTCTAGAGATACCCCTTACACTCTATCTGTCTCTGCCTTACTCTAGATTCTCTATTTCTCTCCCGCTCTCACGTTCTCTGCTCTCTTCACTCGGATCCTATAAATACCGGGCTCTGCTGCCTTGCGCACCTCATTCTGTCCGTGGCGTCTCCAGTGTTAACATCTAGAGTGATAGTGATAGTGATTGCCCTTCGACCCGAAAAATATGACGTGGCCCATGACCAGGAAGAAGCTTACTTCGAAGATATCATTGAAGTCACCGGAAATGGAAATCTACACTGGCAGCAATTGGGCAATATCGAAAACGGATAGCCACGTGTCCTCCACTTTGGTAAGTCTTAACCATCAATTAATTATATTATGTATATAGGATATATAAAAGTGATCAGGCCTCAGATGTAGAATCAGCTAACTATGCATTTATTTCCCCAATTAATTCTAATATTGTCATGGACTCTATTAGTTCATTTTAATTAAAGATTATTTATTAACAGCCTTACTTAATTATAAATTGTTTAGGAATATTGATTTCTTACGATAGTTTCAAAAGTAACCCTGACTTTGGTGACAACTTTTGCTATATAATTATACCCTTTCACGGTATTCCAGTTTCATTCAGAAGCTTAAAACTTAGTGAAGAAATCATTTTCGACCCTATAAATCTATATTCTTGATGAGCATGAACTGCCGAATCGATCTAGCCATGTTTGGGAGAGAACAAAAATTTTAAAATTTATTTTCGAAATTTTATCACAAAATTGTATATAGTCAAAAATTGACAAATTTCAAATGTTGTAAGACTTTGAATCTAAATATGCAGATTTGTTACCTCAATAAAAACTAGCTCAGAACTGCTTTCCGAATTGAAATAGTGCATTTTTGACATAGTTATGGATTTTTAAACTTTGCTTTGTAGAAAAATGGTCATATAAAATTATCGATAAATATCGACTCAAATAGTATTACAATTTTAGTCTGAAGCTTCTAACTTTTGAAAGAGCCATTTCCGACCCTATAAATTATATATATTCTTGATCAGCACAAAAAACCCAATTGATCTAGCCATGTTATGGGAAAAATTTTTTTTGAAAATTTTTTTCTCAAATATTTGTCTTTAAATTTTATATTGCTAAATGGTCAAAAATTGACAAATTTGAAATTTTGTAAAACTTTAAATATAAATATGCAGAATTGTTAACCTAATAAAAACTAGCACAAAACAGCATTCCGAATTGAAATTACTGAATTTTTAGCTTAGTTATGAATTTTTAAACTTTAATATATTATAAAAATTGTCATATAAAAATATCTATAAAAATCGGCTTAAAAATGGAATTACAATTTTAATCAGAAGCTTGTAACGCTTGGAAGATTCATTTCCGACTCTATAATCATATATATTCTTGATCAGCATTAACAGCCAAATCGATTTAGCCATGTTTGGTAGAAATTCTTTTTTCAAAATTTTATTTTTAATATTTTGTTATAAATCTTTGCATTGTTGACGGTACTAAATTTTAAAATTTTAAGTTTTACAAATTCTAAAACTCGATGTGTAGATTTGTTAACCTTATGAAAACTAGATCAGAACAGCTTTTCGAATTGAAATCGATGCCTTTTTGGCTTAGTTATGATATTTGAAAAATTTTAATTTGGGGAAAAATTTAGCATATAAAAATATGTATTTCATATACTTAAAATACACATATTTCAGATTTTCTTGTAGGTATATATTTTCATCTACAATCAAGATCTGTGTCCAAAAGAAATAAAACAAGTGAAAACTTAATTTGACTAAACATTTAACTCCATTTTTTAAAGTTTTTAAAATCATTATAATTTTAAGAATTGCATAAAAGATTTAATTCATTCAATATAAAAGCCCAATAAACTATAATTCTTATGAAAGCCAACACAAAAAGGCTTTCCAAATTTAGATTTATAAATCTTTCTTTAGGCTTCTGAAAGTGCGCTTCTTTTCTTTCTTATATAAATGTAATAAATAAAAAACCTAATTTCGAATTTAAATTCCAACTCCCACAGCCTACTTTGATAAAATTAGGAAAAAACCAAGAAATTTCGTTAAAATCCGATCTAGTGATCCATGGAATCCGAAACTATGGTCCTGTCACTAGCAGGTCTATAGGCTCGGCACGAAAATATTCAGTTTGCAGCCAGAGCTCGTCTGGAGCAGTACTACTTTTATTTCGGCCTAAAAGTTCAAAAATAAAAACATCAAAATTATCAGTGAAAAAGGTAAAAAAAGTGAAACAAAAAGAGAAAAAATTTTTCAGCAAATGTAAAATTTTGTTCGTTTTAGATATTATCTTTGGATCACCATGATTCGTCATTGTTTGTTGTTTAAAGGGTCCCCCAGATTTAAGTTTTTGTTCTAAGGCTGCGCCTAATTATATTATTTGGAACTGGAAATAGGCTGGCTAAAATTGGTAAGAACTAAGCTTTAATTTATTTAATTTTCTTTTCTTTGAAAAGAAACTATTTATTTTTAGTTTATGATTAATTATTTATTCCGTTGATTGCAGTGCTAACACCCTACATCTAACACCAAACACATTGTTGAAGTTCGTTGTGCCTTAATATGGCTAAATGTAAGATATATATATATTATATATATATATAAATTTATAATTAACATTTTGTTTCTTTCAGATATCGACCATTTTGCTTTTATTGTTCGCTCATAGATCGTTATAGCTTTGCAATTTCATCACGATTTCTACATTTTTCAACTGCACAGGGCATCAGGGATTTACATTCAATTGGTATTGAATAAGAATAAGTAAGTATTATTATTATATTGCCTAATAATTATATAACTAATAATAATAATTTGCAGCAGAAGACAACACATACGGGGGATTAAACACAAGCAAAAACAGATTGATATGATATCTTAATGATGGTACCCGTCTAAAACGTTTGACGAGAAGCCTGGCATCCGGGATTTATTTTTTGGGCCTTCCCAGCCCCCAGCTCACCGTTCGCTGAAAACCGTCCGCCGCCCGTGACGTGTTAGAGATATTGAGAGTATAAGAACAATAAAAGCAAAAAAACTATGGGTATTACTAAATGTTAAATCTTGAGATACTAGTGTGTGATTTATCTTATGGAAGGTACTAGGTTAACGGTCCCCAGCAAACCTCAATTCTTGGCAGCGATATAGATTTTTTACCCTAATATAAAAATAAATATTCTCGTCTGTCAGAAAAAAATGTACATTTCAGGCAAAGCCAAAGATAATCCTACAAGAAAGGAAAGTAACTTTTGGTTCACAGTAGCCAGATCTAGGATATTTAAAATCTGTATAAACCTCTTTAAATCTGCTTAAACTAAGTGCAAATGTATCACATTTACCAGGCAAACCTCAATTCTTGGCATCAATATAGATTTTTACCCTAATATACGAAAATATTTTCAAGTCTGTCAAGAAATGTACATTGCAGGCAAAGCCAACTTGGTTAAACATATTTATTGTTCAAATTAAACGAAATAAGGTTTCATAGTTCATTCCCGTCTTGCAACTGGCTAAAATTTTGAGATATTTGAGTAGTTTAACACTTACCATTTAGATTATTTTAAAACAAGAAAGGTCTAAGATATTTAATATCTACATAAGCCCTTAAATCTGCTTAAACTAAGTGGAAAAGTATCACATATACCCAGCAAACCTCAATTCTTGACAGCGATATAGATCTAATCTAATCTACCTAAATAAACAAACATATTCTAAAGTATTTAAAAAAAAAATGTACATTTCGGGCAAATCCAACTTGGTTAGACATGTTTATTATTCAAATTGAACGAAATAATTCTCATAGTTCATTCCCGTCTTGAAACTCACCCTTCTGGAGCTGGCTGGTGGGGATAAACTCCTCGTGCTTCTGGTCACCCTTCTCCTCATACTTGAGCTTGTAGTCGGAGTGCTTGCGGAGGGACATGAGGAGCGATTGTGTGCGCGGCGGAATCTCTGGCGGCGCCGGTTCCGGTGGCGGCTCCTCCGATTCCCTTCCGCTGCTGTTGCTACCATTTCCACAACGCCCCAGGACGAACTCATCGCCGCTATCCTCCGGCTGGAGCAGCTGCTTCACGGCAGCCATTTGGGAGAGTTGCTGCTGCTGCTGCTGATGATGATGATGGGAATCGCTGCTGGAACTGGTCATTCCACTGAGACGATTCAATGTACTCCTTGCTGCTGCTCCTCCACTCCTATGACTGCGATTGCTGGATGCCGCTGTTGAGGACGAAGCCGATGCTGGAAGCAGTACATTATCCAATGCATTATCCTCGCCGGAAAACTTGGAGCTCAGGAAGGGATTTGTACTGCGTGGCGAGGCAACGGCAGTGACACTGGCACCTTGTCGGTCATTCTGGACACTGCTGCCGCTGCTGCTGCTGTTGGGGAAGAGGCCCAGATTCGCATTGGTCTGATATTTGCCCGCCGAGACGGTGGACACTAGCTTCATGGGTGAGCCCATGGACGAGCGTTGCTGGTGCGGTTGGGCGTAGGTCACCTCGGGAGCGGGTGCGGGAACGGCAACGGGAACGGTGACATTGGTGGATGCCGGTGGAAGATCTCCGGGTGATGTATTCTCCAGGATATGGCGATCGCGATGACGTAGATAATCCGGTTCACAGTCAGAGTTATAGTGTTCCATGCCTAAGGGAGAAGATAAAACAATGATTAGGTTTCATTTTAAAAGAAGAAAGTTGAAAGGGAAGGAGAAGTATGATTTAAAATGGAATAATTTTAAATTTTAAAGAGATTTCAGATATCATTGCATACTTTTGAGAGTCACTTCAATGCTTAACATATATCTATGACTTTAAAGTATTAGAAACTAAAAGGAAACTGTTGGTAGATTTAAAATTAATTGAAGAGCTTCGAAAACTATGTTTATGTTTCAAATTTAGCAGATTTAAGATAACATTTTAATTGTAAGTGACTGAAAAATGTATCTGCATACAGAAAGGTTTTTCGAGAGCAACTAAAATATCTCTAGAGGTTTTAAAACTTGACCTAGCTCTTCATATTTTTGTAAATATTAAAATCAAAGGAAACCCGAAACAAAAATAATTCGGAAAACCCTCTATAACCCATAAAGATAACATCTTTCCATATGCTTCACATTTACAATTTAACCTCGACTTAACATTTAACTTTGTTAACAATTTCACAGCCATTTTTCCACAGCCGCTATTTGTTTTTTTTTTTCTTTTCCACGAAGCCTGCCTGCTGCTCTTGGCTTTTCAATTTTCCCCCGCGAGAGTAATGGCCAGCAAACAATTTGCGAAAAGTCCATTGAGTTCGTCGTCGCGTTCGTCCGAGCGTTATTAGGTTGTAAAAAATGAATCGTAAATTGCATTAAATATTAACAGACAATAAAATGGGCCGAAACAAAATGCAGAAATGGCAGCTTGAAGGCGAAAGTCGGGGAAGGACCGTAAAAAGAGCGAGCTTTCGCCTCGGTAGTCGCTGCGATTTGCGTTTTATGCTTCGATTAAGTTCGCTCCGGGGAATCCGAGGGGGAGGGACTCCAAGGGGGGAGGGTAGAGTAGGCATAATGTCGGGAGGATGTGCCATTGTATCGGCCATTAGGCCGGTGCTGCCAACTTGATTGTAATTGAATTGCGCACTGCTGACGTTCGCGGTGCTGCCACCGGAGAGTGGTGAATACAGTGGGGATTCCCCCAAAAAGTTGAGATTATTTCCCAAAATAAATTGGGAAAATGGTAAACAATTCCTTGAAGAATTTTAATTTAAAGTGCTTGCTAAACGGATTTCTACAAACTATTATTTAAAACCTTTCATTAAACCTCAAAAAGAATTCCACAAAAACTAACTAACTAAATTCTTTCGAAAGCCAGAATTCACTGTCTGATATCGTAGCAATTTATTCAATTCAATCAAAGGACTGTCAGGAGTGCCCCCTCATCATCATCATCATCTCATCTCGTCTTGGTCTTCTCCATTACCAATGGCCAGCAATTGGAATCGATTTGTGTTCAGGATAAGCCAGGATAGTCGGTTACCCCGACATCTTCCGGAACACAGATGCGGCAGTTGCTGAATAATTCAATTAAATAAAATAATGAATATTTACTAGGTTGGTCGACTGGCAAATCGCATTTGACCGCCACACCGCATGACCCCTAAATAACCAAACTAAATATATAAAAGGAAACCCCCTTCACACATAAATGTGGACTACACTGCGAGAAATATAAGGCAAATGAATCAAATCAATAAGAGTATTTTTAAAAAAACCTTTAAATAATTTATAAATAAATGAAAAATCTATGAAAACTATAGGAAACCTATGACAACGCTATAGAAAATATATGCAAAAAACGTTGAAAAATGTATTTTTAAAAAATATGAAATATCTATAAATAATTTTAAGAAAATCTAAAAAAAATGAATAATGAATCTATTACAAAATAAATAAATAACTCTTAAAAGGGAACTAATTTCAGGAACCCCAAATTAATAAAATGCTGCAGACAAAATCGGTCATAACAAACCCAAAATGTACTAATTTCTATTCGGAAAGCTGTCCTAAGCTTGTTTTTAAAAGGTTAACCAATCTACATATTGAGTTTTTGAATTTTTAAAACTTAAAAATTTTTCAATTTTTGCAACTTTAACAATATAAAATTTATAACAAAATATTGAAAAAAAATTCTTAAAAATTGTTTTCTCCCAAACATGTCTAGATCGATTCGGATGTTCATGCTGAACAAGAATATATATGGATTATAGGGTCGGAAATTGCTCTTTCAAACGTAACAAGCTTCAGACCTTTAGTATTAATGCCATATTTATCAAGTTTTTTTAGGAAAAATTTTTCTAGAAATCAATATTTAAAAAATTCATAACTAAGCCAAAAATGCATCAATTTCATTTCGGAAAGTTGTTCTAAGTTAGTTTTTATGAGGTTAATAATTCTCCATATTTAGATTTAAAGTTTTACAAAATTTAAAATTTGTCAAATTTTTATCTTTTAACAATATAAAAAATAATGACAAAAAATTTGGAAAATAAACTCGAAAATTTTTTCTCGGAAACATGTTTATATCGATTCGGCAGTTCATGCTGATCAAGATTATATATGATTTATAGGGTCGGAAATGATTTCTTCACTAAGTTTCAAGCTTCTGAATACAATTATGAGACCCTAATTATTAGTGCCTTTAAATATTTGATAAAAGTGTAAAAAAATGTGTGAAAAATAAAAATCAAACAAAATATATACGGAAAAACTGAAAAAAGACTATTAACAATTAAATAAACCAAAATATATTTAAAAAAAATATAGATAATTTAAAAAATCGATGAAAACCAAAGGCAAAATTAATGGAAAACTTTATAAAATCTATAAAAAATGTAAGGAAATATTTTTGATATCAAAATATTTCAGATAAGTTAAGCGATTTTTGTCTGCTGCCCAAAAGTGTGCAATGATTTTTAGTTAAAAAGACCCTCAATGCCATAATGTTTCTTTTTTGAAAATTCACTTCGAAAGGAGTTATTTTTTTAGATCTTCGTACTTACTTGCCAATTGTTGACTCTGCAGGAGGAGCTGTGCCAGCAGTTGGGTATCGAATGCCGTCGCCTGCCCGGTGTTCTGGTACTCATCCTCGCTGCTACTGCCATAACCATGGCCCAAACCGTGACTGAGGCCATGGCCCAGCCCATGACCGTGACCGTGACCGTGACGATGACTATGCCATTCCGCTGAACGCTGTCGCCGCAGTTGCTCTCCTCCTCCGCCGCCTCCACCGACTCCTCCGGAGCTGGAACCGATGCCGCCGGAGGAGGAATAGTAATACTCGCTACCGGCAGCACTGCCGCCCCGTTTACGGCCAATTGTCCCGGAGTGACTGCTGGACATGACTCTCCCTCTCTCTATCTCTATCTCACTATCACTCTCTCTCTCTTTCTATGCTAGCTAATGGGGACCCAAAAGTGTCCTCCGGAATTGCCGCTTCGAATCCTCAAACTCTTAGACAGGTGACTGCTTTTGCTGCTGCTCCTGCTGCTTCAGCCACGTAATTTGTTCTCGTAGAGCCAGCATTTTCATCAATTGTAGTTGTAGTTGTAGTTCCGAGCTGACCAGGCTGACGCCAGGAGTACGGTCCAAGTCCATGTGGTCCACTTCCCGAGCTGGTGGCTTTAAGTGCTTAACCGAATTAACGCTGAAACGATAAAAACGACAAAGTGTCAGTGAGTTTCGGGGAAGATAAAGCCATAAATGTACGTAAATGAAAATAAATAGCAGCCGGTACCCGTAAACCGTAACCTCCCCGGTACTTTCACTTTGACTTTTGGACGTAAAGTGAACTTAATAGCAATTGCAGTGGGGGCGGGGACAGTATCCCGGCTATTTCAGGATTTACCCAAAAGGAACAGTGATGTTTTTAGGGGAAAAAGTCGCTAAATGAAAGTTAAGGGCATTTCTAGATAGGATAACTTGAATTTTGTTTCAAAGGATATCATTATCAACTATCATTATCAAATAATATAATATTAAAGAATATGGGAGATGAGTTTCTGGTCAAGAGAATATAATACAGGAATCGAAAGTTCACAAATAAATGGATTTAGAACTTTTAGGATACTAATATACCAGAAATTTATCTGGAATATAGCCTAGAATCAAGTATATGATATAAGGATAGATCTCTAGATGAGCTAACTAGACTTTAAAGTCTCTAATTTATAAATATTTCTCTTAAAATATACCATAGTCTCCAAAACACTATAAATAAACAGATTTAAAGTCCCACAAATTAACCCAAATAACCTGTTATTTTGTTTTGGCCATAATGAAGCCAAATTGGCAACACCGCCTGTTTATGGGCCGCCTCCTCTTCGGCTTAGACAGACAATTTGACTTTTGATTTTGATGAGTGAGCATTTGAATGCACTAAAACACACAGGAGGGGAAAGGGAAAAGAATAGGGAGAAAGCTGGCAGGGAAAGGAGAAGGGAGTGGGAAAAGGAAAACTCGAAGGGGAACAACACAAGTGGGTCATTACTGACAGCCTCCGCTCGATGCGGGTTAAGGCTGCCAGCTCAATGGCCATGCCAAAGGACGCAAAACGACTAAAGGACTGCAGATTCAGGCGGACACAGGACACGGGACACACAGGACACACAGGACAAGAGGCACAAAGGTTAGGTTATCCTCCTTGCAGAGTTCTCGACTCAAGGATTGTGTGTGTGTGTGTGTGTGTGTATGGAACTGTTATCTTTTATGGGACTCAACCGAGGAGCAGCAGTCGTCCTTGGTCCTTCATCTTAATGTTCTGCCAAATCGGAAATTGTATGGCCTATATACCATTGCTACCTGTGGCCTGAGGGAATATATCATCAATTATGGTTCCCTCAATTCAATTAAATAACATACGGACTATCTACGCTTTGAAAATGTTTTTAAATCAAAGTCAAGCTTTAAGAGGGATAAATGTGTACAGTTCTTAGCAGTCTTTGTTTTGTTTAAATCTACTAAAATCCGTATTAAAATTTAACCGAACTAAAGCTACTTTTGTTCTTGGTGTTATTTTTAAGCGTTTTAAATGCTTAATTGAAGTGAGCAACTTTTTTTGTTGGTTTTATAAACGTTTCAATTGTTCACAATAGTTTATATAGCTTTTTGTTGACTTACTTCTTTGCCTTTTTTTCAAATTTGAATAATTTGCACTTTTGATGATGAGATGATGTTCTTCATACATATTGTTGCATGTGTTGATTGATGTATATTCAGGTTCAATTGTGGACTCAAATATAAATTTGGAAAATACATACATATATATATATATATGTTCACATCTTAAGTTGCAAAACCTTTTGGAAGTGTATCCCTCACATTGGTGAACTATTTTCATTATTATAACTTTCACCAATGTTGGTGTATTCATTGGTGTAGTCGTTGGTGTGCGCTTAAAGGCGCACGAATGTCAGCTCAGTTGGCTTCTTTTGTAAATTTGGAGTGTTATTTCGGCGGTGCAACAAACGGTGGCTTCCAGGCACTCGCTTTGCAACCTCCGGTTGCGGGCTGCTAGAAATACGATTGAATAACTCCATCATTTCCCGCTCATACTGACGCTGCTGCTGGCGCTGTCGCTTCACCAATGGGTCAATCATGATCTGGGAATCGCGGAGACCACGGGCCATCTCTGGGGTAGCCTGGTTCCGGGGAAAATTCATGGTGCACATCCTCTGTTGGAGTGTTGTCCGTGTGGGTCCTTGGTTCTCCACTTCGTTGAAATGGGTATCCATCTTTCGTCTTTTAATATATATGTAATGGTGAACGCCAAAGTTTTTAGTCTACCTAATATTGGGTTTGTTGCTTTTTGTTTCGGTGTGAAGTACTAACAATGTATGATGTGGAAGTTTACATTTGTTTGTTCAGATTGCTTATGTTGTAGTGACAACATATCCAATGATGTATTAATATTTGCCTACTTTGCACGAGCAATAGCGAAGGAGACTTTTATTTAACGAAGAAAAACTGAAGGCATATTCAGGGATGACACCCAAAGAACTGCATCAACATGAAAATCGAATTCTAATGTACCCAAAAAACAAAACCACAAGAGAAAAAAAATACACAAATTCTTGTGCCGGACCACACACTCCTTTGAGTGCTCTGTGTGTGATATTGTGTAACCGAGTATGTGGCTCCTTTGGCAAACAAGACTTAATCGAATGCAACTGCGAGAGTTCAAGTCAAGTTGAATTCAGACCATACTATATGTATATTTTTGCAGCAGTCTGATGACTCCCCCACAAAAAAAGAAAAAAGAAAAAAATACATCAGCAACACTCACATTACCCCTGCCTGGGTGCAATATTCTCCATCGGCAAATGCGCAATTTGGCCTGCAAAATGCATATTTGTGGCATCCATTTGTATTGCTTTGTTGGTCTGAAGACCGAAGCCGAAAGATAATCAAATACGCATTTCTTCCTCTCTTGCTCTCTAATGAACAAAGTTTTTCCTATTTCTTTTTTGGGGCAGTGAAACTATCAGGGTTGACTAGTTTTTGAGATGCTTCTAAAGGATTAAAATATTTTTGGAATAAAATAAAATTCCATTTATTTTAGGAAAAGGTTTGTCAGTTTAGCTTTCATATTGTATAGAGTTGTTTTTAACAGTTAGGTATTTTTTAAAATATCAAACTTATGTATGTTTTACTCCGAAAAAAGAGTTGCCATCATGCCGTTTCATAGTGTGCAGAGTTGCCAGCTTGACTTGTTCTAGTAGTTTTGGGTTAGCAGCAGAGTTGCCAGCTTAACTTTTGAAGCAAATAAGCTGAAAGCTTTAAAAATGCTCTAAAATAATTAACTTTATCGATAAATATAACAAGGTTATACAATTTATTCACAATTTATATTATTCCTACACACTTTTAATAGATTGAAATGCTACATTTAGCTACCATTTCGTTCCCATAGATGGCAACACTGGCCATGGCTAGGCCCAAATGGAAAAAGCTGCTCGGCATCAATTGCAATTTTAAAGTGCTGCGAGGACTTGGCTAACGAATTAAGAGCAAAATATTATATGCCTGGCAAAATGTTGCATAAAGTGACGGGGTGTGCGAAAAAGGGGCGTTTGTTGTGGGCGTGGGTGTTGCGTGGGGTGCACGCAATTATTTTGCATGCTCCATTTTAACAATTTGGAGAAAGAAATGTGCCAGTGAAATGCGAAAATGAATGAATGAATGGCCGACTGAATGTTTGCTCCATCTTGCTTCCGCAAATGCAGGCCATCTCGCTTGCACTTAGCAGAGAAAGTGGGGCATTAAAGACCCTGCACAGAGAGAAAAACCTATATTAAAATTAAGTTTGCATTGAAATTATGGGAATGAATAAAAAATTGATCATACCTAAGCTTAAAAAATTAGCATTCTTAAAATCAATATTTTTCAATATTTTTATATGACTATTTTTTTTTTGATAAATCAAGGTTTAAAAAACTCATAACTACCCCAAAAATTCATTAATTTAGATTTGGAAAGCTTTTCCATGTTAGTTTTTATCATTTTAATAAAACTACATACACAGTTAAAAATTTGAAAAAAATAAATTTTTCTACAATTTTACACTGATAAAATTTATACAAAAAATTGGGAAAAAATCGTCAAATTTTTGTTTCTTTCAGACATGGCTAGATCGACTCGGCTGTTCATGCTGATCAAGAATATATATGATTTATAGGGTCGGAAATGGCTCTTTCAAGCTATACAAGCTTTTGAGTAAAATTAAAATACCCTTCAGGGTATATCTTATAAAAATATATTTTTAAACGTTTTTTCTTTTAAGATAAGGTTCGAAGGTTCTTTTTACAATTAATTGTTTTTTTGTTTGGCTTGAAAAAATCTTTGCTTTCCCTTTAAGTGTAGTAGTCGGCATTTTCATATGCATGCTTAAGTACGCCGGACCACAACAACAACAACAAAAACACCAACAACAACAACAACAACAACAACAACAACAACAACAACAACAACAACCACACCAACAACACCAACAACAACTATAACTACGAAAAATGCCACAAGGAGCCAAGAAAATATTGAGTTAACCCGAGCAGCGTTGCCCTAAAAGTATGCAATGAAATGTTATTTTCCTCATTTCCACAAAAACTTTCAGCTTTTAAAGAGGGCAGACCGCCCCCTCCCTCTCCGCCTTTCCACCCCTCCCCCGCTTAACCCTCTTCAGTCCCAGCTTAACCCCAAGCAGCTGCCTTTAACATTAACCCACAAGCAGAAACTTCGTCGCGCCGCTGTTGGTATTATTTTATCTCTGGTCTTAAATTAATTTGCAGCCCAAGAAAGAGCTTCTTTAGATTCTTAGCTCACTTGAGCAATGACCTCAAAGACATGGCAATTGTGGGGGGAAAATAAGAAGAAGTTCTAATTGAATTAAATTTTATTTACTCTTCTTTTTTTAATAATGTTATTTCGGTTTTATAAAGCCACAGAAAACTTAAGAACTAACCATAAATTAAACGCGGCCAAAAAAGCTAAGCACACATTTTGTTTAATTAAAATTCGAAGCCAAAGAAACTTAACCTTTAACCTTTGTCGATACTTAATGAATTCCAAAATGGTGTAGAACTATAGAGAGACTTAACCCCCCGAACAAATACATATATCGTTTCATTCGAATTCAGCAATTTCATTTTGTGTGGCCTCTGCAGGACGACGCATTTCCTCTGACATCAATCGCTCGTCATTGTTTCAGCCGCAATATTTATGCAGAGCAGTGTGGAGATATATACTGGATATATATATATATATCTGGGGACTGAATCATATCCAATGACAATGGAAAATGGCTCTGTGAACCACAAGCTCTCTATGCCCTCTTTCTGGCGTTGTGTTGTGTCGACCGCAAAACGTTTAATTACATGTCAAAATGCGAAATGCATTGAACAAGACACAGGAACCATAGCACTCAGTGCGCTCTTTGCTCCTCCCCCGCAGCATCACTTTTCCCCATCCCCCTCTTGGCATTTTCCATTTTCCACTTCCTCCAGCATCCAAACGCTTCCTGAGCCGCCATCATCAGCAGCAGCAGCAGCAGCAACGTTGTTTTATAGATAAAGCAACGCGTTACACAGCTCCAAATTTGGTATTATGAGTGAACATGCAAAAACAACCTCATTACCAACACACGCATACACACACACACACACACACACTCACACACACAAATATAGGCCAGGACATGACGCTCTCACACACTCTTGTATGTATATGTAAATATATATATACTCTCCATCAGAGGCTTAGTTTTTTTTAGAGGGAATAGTGTGGAGGAATAAAGCTTTAATTTTAAAGACTAAATTTTATCAGTATTAAAAATATATTACAAAAATAAAATTACTAAAGCTAAACGAGCTTAAATAAACTAAGAAAATTAAGTATTTAAAATATATACAACTTGGAAAAATATTTAAAAATGCCAAATCTTTAGGCAAACAAGCTAAAAAAAAATAAGAACAAAGAAAAAACTAGTAAAATGCGAGTTTATAAATATACAAATACTATTTAAACAAGTTAACACAAGTAAAATTTAACAAATAAATAATATACCGAATAGTAAAATACAAATAATATAATTATAACTATAAAAAAAAACACATTTGTTCACACTAAGAGTTTAATAAAACAATATGTAATTTATAAAGTCGTCTTAAAGTACTTAAAGCATTTGAAATAAATTCAATAAAAACCTAGCCCCAGCTCTTATGTTTCGTTATTATTTTTGAAATAAATTCCACCGATATGCAATATTTTTAATTTATAATTCTCAAAGAGCTTGTTGAAAAATAATAAGAGCCAACGAATTATTAATAAAATAATAAAGATGGTCATATAACATCATATCTACATATAAAAATAAAACAAAGAAAAACTAGAAAGGCAACTAACTTCGGAAAACCGATGTTTATATACCCTTGCACATTCCAATAAAATTATAGGATTAAATCGGAAATCAATCATAATTAAGCTTAAAATATATCATTCTTTGAATCGATATTTATAGGTATTTTTGTATGCAAAATTTTCCGAAAAATCAATGTTTAAAAATCTCATAACTAAGCTAAAAATGTATTAATTTTAGATCGAAAAGCTGTCCCATGCTAGTTTTTAATAGCTTAATAAATCTGCACACTCTTTTTTAAATTTAAAAAAAAATAAAAATTTGACCAATTTTTGAAAGTTTTAATGATGTAAAAATTGTGATAAAAATCTTGAAAAAAATTTCAAATTTTTTTTTCTGCCAAAGATGCTAGATCGATTCGGCTGTTCATTCTAATCAAGAATATATATGATTTATAGGATCGGAAATGGCTCCTTCATGAGTTACAAGCTTCTGACTAATATTATATTACAATTTTAAACCGATATTTATCTATATTTTTATATGACACTTTTTTGGATAAATCAAAGTTTAAAAAATTCATAACTATGCCAAAAATGCATTAATTTTAAATTGGAAAGCTGTCCCATGTTAGTTTTTAGTAGGATAATAAATCTGCATACTCATTTTAACATTTAAAAAAACTAAAATTTTTGACAATTTTTGTAATTTTTAATGATATAAAATTATGATACAAATCTTGAAAAAAAATTTCAAATTTTTTTTTTTTGCCAAAGATAGCTAGATCGATTCGTCTTTTAATGCTGATCAAGAATATATATGATTTATAGGGTCGGAAATGACTCCTTCACAGCGTTTCAAGCTTCTGACTGAAATTATAATACCCTGTAAGGGTATAAATATAAAAAGACAGAAATGAATACTCCCTAATTGAATGAGTGCCAAAGTAACATACATTTTTTCCATTACATTTTGATGCCATCAAATTGTAAAAGCAACGGATGGTTTTTTGTTAAATAAAATACAAACTGAAAGGAGTTTCTTTTACACTTTTTT